TGTCCCCGATGGTTAGAGCCATCGGTTGAGGTGGCGCTGCAGATGGCTGCCTCAGTTCTGTACCAGAAACAGATTTCTTGTGTGTAACATACTTGGCCAATAAAGGTGATCATCCTTATTAAATTTAGATTTACTAGTCTGGGACTTGTACAGTGATTATACCCAGAATCTGCAAAAATGGGCAGTCAGAGACTTGGCTAAAATTTTAAAAGCATGTACAAGAGTGATAAGGGAATCGATTGAAACTGTAAAATCAGCTTGTCCAATTTCAAAGCCTGTTTTAATGTATTCCAACTGAGAGGAACAAGACATTTAAAGGCCTTTTTTTCCCCAGCTGAAGGGCCTTGACTGCTAAAGAGCCACTTGACATTCCCTGGTCAAAGGTACAACCTGGGCTCCATAGGTAAATGTTTTCCTAACTTTGCTGTAGCCATTGACCTTTGCTATTCCCGAACTGTGCACCTTAGTCACTACATACCTGTAACCTGAAAGGAAAGTTGAAAATTTTAAATGTAGTTCAGTGTCTTTGAGTACATGTTGTTAGCGGTGTTTCAGACTCGACGTAAACGCAAGGGCCCCGCAAATATTTATGTACATAAGCAGTGGCTGCACTGTGTCTTGGCAGACAATACAATGCTCATCCAACAGGGGGCAAGAATCACTCACCCATGATCCTAATTAGGTCATGTGTTTTATCTGGTAGCAAAAAAAATTGCTGTCAAAGAGGAGCTTCTCCTTTGCTCTTCAAGTATATGCCTACCCTCCTTGCATAGCTGGAAGCTTTTGCATCTTTGTAGAATCTAAAGGTTTTTGACATTATCCATCCATCCATCCATCCATTTTCTTCCGCTTATCCGGGACCGGGTCGCAGGGGCAGCAGTCTAAGCAAAGATGCCCAGACTTCCCTCTCTCCAGACACTTCCTCCAGCTCCTCCGGGGGAATGGCTGGCCTGGGAACGCCTCGGCAAGAGACATAGTCCCTCCAGCGTGTCCTGGGTCTTCCCCGGGGCCTCCTCCCGGTGGGACATGCCCGGAACACTTCCCTAGGAAGGCGCCCAGGAGGCATCTGAAACGGATGCCTGAGCCCCCTCCTTGAACCGCCACCTTATTGTGGTGGAGGGGTTTGAGTACCTGAGTGATCCTAGGAGCTATGTTGTCGGGGGCTATATGTCCCTCCGCCTGTATCCGGGATCTTGCCCTTTTGGTCATGATCCAAAGTTCATGACCATAGGTGAGAGTCGGAACGTAGATTGACCAGTAAATCGAAAGCTTCGCCTTACAGCTCAGCAAATTCTTCACCACGACAGACCGGTACATCACACTGGTTCACTTGTCAGATGACCTTCCAGATCTTTACATGCTATCTTAG